ACTCTCCGGCACTCTCCGGCAACTCTCCGGGGCTCTCCGGCACACTCCGGCACTCTCCAGCGGCTCTCCGGTACTCTCCGGCATTCTACGGCCCTCTGCGGCACTCTCCGGCTGTCTCCGACACCCTGCGGCACTCTCCGACACTCTCCGGCAATTCTCCGGCACTCTGCGGCCCTCTGCGGCACACTCCGGCTCTCTGCGGCACTCTCCGGCACTCTCCGACACTATGCGGCCACTCTCCGGCACATTACGGCAACTCTCCGGCGCTCTCCGGCACTCTTCGAATCTCTCCGGCACTCTCCGGCAACTCTCCGGCTCTATCCGGCAACTTTCCGGCACTCTCCGGCAATCTCCGGCACTGTCCGGCACTCTCCGGCTCTCTCCTGCATTCTGCGGCACTCTCCGACACTCTCCGGCAATTCTCCGGCACTCTGCGGCCCTCTGCGGCACACTCCGGCTCTCTGCGGCACTCTCCGGCACTCTCCGACACTATGCGGCCACTCTCCGGCACATTACGGCAACTCTCCGGCGCTCTCCGGCACTCTCCGGAATCTCTCCGGCGCTCTGCGGCAAATTTCCGGCACTCTCCGGGACTCTCCGGCAACTCTCCGGCACTCTCCGGCACTCTACTGCACTTAATACACCCAACGGCACTGTACGGCCTTCGATAAGGCTCGAAAACACTTGAGAAACGCGTGAAAACCATCGATAACACTCGACAACGCTCGAAAATGCTGTGAAAATGACCGAGAAACTCCCGAAAACGCTTGACAAACGCTCGAAAACGTTCGAAAACGGTCGAAAAACGCTCGATAACGCTCGATAACGCTAGTGGGGAAATGTAAAAATCATACGCGAAATGACTCGGCTTATATCCGCCGTTAGGTAAGCCTCGGGAGGATGTTTCGCAGTATTCGACTCTCACGCATACTCGTCGAACGCACACATACTCAACGTCTCGACCCGTAGCTTGGCGCTTGGCTGGATGGGACGCGCGAAGATTTCTAAGAGCGATCGCACTCACACAGATTCGCTGCATGAGGGTTCCGTACGCGACACCGACGCGTGCCCCAAAACTCCGCATCACGTCGACTTCGAGGCAACAATGTACTTAATTGTAGTAGATAAGTAGATAAAGTCAAATGGAGCGTCACGAGTGTTCTTCCCTTACCATTAAAAGCGAGCAATGTCGGTAAGCGTAGGTAAACCACCACCGTCAACTGCCGCATGGTATTACCATCACGAGTACGTGAGCCGCCAACGGCGACTGGTAGATGGTACCGCCTTCGCGAGTGCGCTAGCTCCTATCAGAAATTCGTTGCGCCGCCCTTGGGGGCAAAAAACGGTGAAAGCTAACGTACGAAACCAGAGGGCAGCACAGGATTCGATCAGACGATCCTGCCCGTGAGTAATCTCCCAGCTCATCTCTGTTTAGGATAGCCTTGGAGAATTTAAGCAAATTGTGAGAATTTGCAATTAAATTAATTTATAAAAGTAATTCATTACCTTTAGTAAGTAATATTCATAAAGTCAAGATACTTTTTATAAACAGTCTCCCTTTAATTTTATATTTCTTTCTTGTTCACTTCAGAAATTTTGGTATTGGGAAGTCAAAAAGCTAAAATCTTCCGAAATACAATTAAAATGTGTACGTTGTATAATAATTATTCATACTTTGGTAACATCATTGAAAATAGCTTGAATGTTATTGAAAAAATGCATTTCTCTTAAATTCTCATAAATTCACGGAGAATTTAATAATCGATTACATTTTCGGTTATATTCTCGATCTCGACTATATCACCGGGATAATATAACGCACTAAAAATTCGACTCGTAACTTATCGTAGTTATCTTGGTACATACTCATCCAATAAGTTGAATCCTTTTGCGCCATCCATATTGGGTAAATTTTGTGAACTGAGGATTTTTAATTTTTATACACCATTAATTTAATCGCTTTTTAAAAAGAACTATCAATGTAGTATGGTAACAGCCGTTTATGCAACCGCATGACTGATTCATTGTTAGATAGATACTGTAACTGAAAAAAGTGGAAATACGATATTAAATCAGTCTTAACACACGTTAATACTGGGCATTTTCAAAAATAAATAGCAAAATTAGTCAAGTAACATACTTAATGATTTAAGACAATATATTTGGGCTTCCTTTGAAATGACAAATTACACTGTATGCCGTCGACATAGATATAACGGGGAAAATTTCAATTGTTATAAAAATTCATTTGAAATCGGCGCGTGGTAACTGACCTCCTTTTGCGCATATGCGTAGTGTACAGTGTACAGTGTATGCACAAGAACTATTCGGATTCCAAGTTCGATCCCAAATTCCAAAAACGAAGTGTAGTAAATGTAGTGTATACTATCAGAAAGCAATAGACATTTTTTTGCCCCCGAACAAACACTAGATCTATGGAATTAAAAAATACCGAACACTTTAGATTTATTTTTTGGTATGGATGTACACTGGCCGACATGAATGCCTTCCCATCATGCATTGCCGTTATCGTGTTTGCAGGGAAGCAAAGAATTCAGAAGTCTCCATAGAAGCCCAGAAGGATACGGACGTTCGATGCTCGATAAATAGTATGTTAGCCAACGGATGGCGGCGCTGTAATCATCTCTCCATCTCTCTTAATCTTATGGCGATATATAGCAATTGCATTCTTTCTTTATCTTACACCCAATACTCGCCTTTCTATATGCGTCTCTCTTCCTCCCGTACGTGAGATATCGTTGGCTAACACGTGCGATCTCTTTTTTACCCCCACTTCTGGTTTGTTAGCCAACTTTTAGAGCATCAAGCGCTAACATAGGATCTGGGCTTCTATGGGACTTCTGAATTCTTTGAGGGAAGGCATTCGTGTCCTCCGCTGTACTCGAGACTTGGGAAGCTTGCTTGAATTCAGTATTTAATAAGAATAGATAGAATATCTTATATTACTAGTTTACATTTTATTATTTTTATTATCACTAATAAGACATAATAATTAGGAATCTACAATGTAATAATAATAAAAATCATCGCTATAGTTGATATTGATATTCTTTTTTTGTTTTTGTTGTCCCATTAGTTTTGAAAATTAAAATTATGGTACGTATTTGAAAAATAATTTGAAGGATTTCGGTGTTGACCACTTGAAATTTTATTTCTGTTTCTATCTCTGTTTCACAGTACTCACCTCTATCGCAGGGAGTGGTAGCCAAAAGTTACATGAAAGTCGTCATCAAAAACAACTCTCTTTCTACTACAGGAGTTTTCATATTTGTGCACACGACCGTGCTGATACCGCAGTCATCGAAAATTAATGTGCATACATGCATGCCCATGCATGTGCATGTGTATGTATATATTGGTAATTCTTACGTACTCAATAGTTTACATATATTGGTAATTCTTAGGCACTCAATGGTTAGTATTCAACATTTCTCGAGGGTTTACCTACCGATAATATAAATGAGCTTCTCAACATTTTACTTCACATTGTATTCCATTTACTTATGCTTGATAGTTTCATAATCTGATGATTTACAGTGTTACTACAGAATATCCATTATTTCGTTTCGTTTTTACAGTATGTTATAGAATCAGGTTCTTTTTATTATAGATATCTTATAAGAACTTTATTATCAGATGCCTAATCATGGATGTAATCAATTATTTTCTATATTATTCGAGGTTCCATATTTCTGCTTAGTTTCACTATTGCTTATTACTTCAAGTTGGTGATTGATAAATACTCCTTTTTTATTTTATACAAAAGCCTAATATACATTCTATAGTATCTTTTCAGTTTCGCTTGTTTTTTTTTACATCGCGTCTATATTCTGCTTATTTTAATTTGCTATTTCTGTAACAATTTTTAATACTTTCCTTTTATCATAATAAGAAGAATATCATTAGATACAGTCAAACATAACTTCGACAATACAGACATATGCTCATCATACCATTAATTATTCTTTAAAAAGATACGGAAGTTGTTACAACCGTAAAAAGACTCACTAAATCCAAAAATGATAAAATTCCACGTAATTTCCATAGTTTAAATTATAATTTGAATTTAATAGCAGTAAACGTCTCATGCGTGTTAATTACAAAGTTTAACAAACTGAGTAACTAGTAATATGAAGAAACATACAAATTGTAACAGGATATATATGAATATTAAAAGTGTGCGCTGAAACGCTAATAGTTAAGTAAGTAACGGGTTGTATTGAATAAGAGTGACCAACAATTGGTACAGCCAGATTCCGTAGCCAGAAAAACGGAAAGTACGAGGTGATTCCTGTTCCACGAAACTCGGCAATGAGTAATCAAAGAATATTCTCGAAGGATTGTAGACGTTCTGGGAACATTTCTGATAGGGTCCCGCGTAACGTGACGGGGGGGCAATGTGATTGCACGTAGCACGGTTGGGTTAGCGAGCGTGCAACGTGCACGCGGGCCACTTTGGACGGCCCTGATTGGCCAGCGTTGGCTGGTTGCGCATGGCACGCACTGTGCCGGTTGCACACGCGCCGAAGCACTCGAGTCGAGAGAGTAGGGACGGATCAATAAATCCCGCGAGCGCGTTGCCTTATGACAGAACTTCGAACGCTACTGACAGTCACTGAATCTGCTGCCCGTTGAGAAACTCTACCAAACAAACCTATACAAGATGCCAGGCCCTTCCTGCGACAAGTGCAAAGGTAAGCTACATGTTCTTATATATGTATTCGTTCGATACATGACCGTTGCTATCGCCGCCATATTTGATTCTACTCCAGTGCAGGTTCATTGCAAAACCTGATACCGGCATACATAGTTTTGAATAAAATAACGCAATGACAAGTATCTGCGCATAGTCATGTTATAAAAAATTGACAATATATATTTACGGAAGATTGAAGTAAATATTTATAACGTTAGAATGTTTTCGAAAATGCCACGGTGATATTTTGTAGAATGACAGACCCTTTCTGTAAAAACTGATACAGTTAACTGAATGGCGGTCAAACGTATTGTTTATTGCTAGAATGGTTGAAGGTGTTAGATATCTATAGAAATATTTATGACTGATGAATTATTATACCGAGTGTTATTTTAGACGGTAGTATTGTTCATATGGCATTGATATTTGAAAATGTGTAAAATGGTATAAGTTCATAGACATTTTATTGGAATCTTGCTGAAAGCATAAGTGGACTCCTATTATCTGAACAAATCAATGTAGCATATCGAGACATGCCTCAGTAGATTCGCGATCGCGTAGATTATATTTTATATTGAGTGGCAAGTAGACAATGTCAAAACGTTGGAGATTGTAGTTTGACTGAGACGAATGTGCATTGAGATCTTTAAGACATACTTTTATTCGTAAATCGCTTAATATTTTCAGGGTAAGCTCATGAGAAGTTATTAGTTTCACCATTTTTTACAACGATGTTGTTATTAAATGGGTGTTCGAAAATTTCGAATAACTCTGTTCACTAAGAGCAATTCTCGTGGGACCCTTTATCATCCCACGCTATTATCTCAGAGTTAATACTTAATATCCGGCTACCAAAGGGCAGATTAGTTTGTACAGTATTGACGTATAATTGTCTTTGTAAACGAACAGATGATAGTAACATTGTCATAAAACTCTAAGAACGGTTTAGAGATGTTCTTGAGTTCTTCGACTTTTAATTTTTTTTCTTTATTATTTGCAGTTTCAAAATTTGTAATTAATAGCTATTTTAATGATACAATGTTTTATAGACACGATTTGGAATTAATCCTACAATTTGTAGTACTTTTCGATGTACTTATTTTCTTCTAAGATCATATTTAAAAACTGAGTTACTTGTAAGTTGCGCGCAGTAGATACAGCTGTTGATGAACATTTGTATCGAGACATTTACGATTATTCTATCGACCTGTATATTTTATTTTCAGTCTCGTTGATCAGAAAAATATTGATAATTATACCTGGCAAATAATAATACGTAACAATGTCAAATGCTGATAAAGCGCAATAGTAGCTAAAATAGGCCGGAAAATAAGATATCTTTGAACTTAACAATAGAACTACCAAGCCCAGTCAAAATGACTGATTTTAGATGGCCCATCAAAGCCAAAAAATCCACCAGTAGTTCTAGTGTTAATTATATCTATCATCATAAAACAATTTGACAGGATAATGTTTTTTGAAAAAGTACATTCCATACAATTTGCGCATTGACAGTTATTTATAATGCACATTATGTGTACGACATATAGACTGACATTATCTGATTTTCAGATACCTGCCAAGATTGTAACTGCGGTGATGACTGCAAGTGCTGTAGCGACTCATGCGGAGGTACTTAGCTTTATTAGAACAAGTATATTAATACGTCCGGTCTTACTCACTAATACAATTTACGGTTTTAGAATAAGCGAATCATTTAATACCCTATACAATACGTCTATTATTTCGGAGCAATTGTATTTTTCCATGCATCATTCATTAATAAGGAAGAGAATGTCGTCAAAGGATTTTAGTACTCATTGAATTAATCGCACCTAATTGCCGATAACAAGCATTTTACGCCTTTTGCACTTATCTTTCATAATATATACCCCAAGTGAAGTAATTATTAAGTATCATAATAGCGGGCTGTATGTGATTCTGAATTTGTAGTATTTTCGTACATCTTTCATATTGTTCATCAGGAGCCGAGTTCGACAATTCATCATTATAAGGCTACCGGCTAATTCTCATTTTTATTACCACTTGATTGTAAGAATTCGCCGAGCTACCAGAAACGATAATGTTCGCTAACACGTAACATTATTCGTCGATACCGGGCTAGGCCCCGAAGGTTGTTCTAGAAAGGACTGTACAAGTTTCTTGTAGCTCGAGTCAACGTCCGGTTAACCGTGACCGCCGCATCAGGAAGAAACACAAAGTCGCTGAACGAAGTTTCTCTTCCTGACTAAAAAATGAATAGTTTCTTACGAATTAACCGAGCGGTAAAGTCGGTCGGTGTCGATGCTTAAAGATATACCTTTCTAAAGAGTTTCTAATGTTTAATGACGAACGGACGTATTCAATGTTATAGGTAGTGTAAAAATAGCGCAAAGAGAAACTAACTGTACTTATTCCATTTCAGAAAAGTGCGCTTGTAAGACTGGTGGACAATGTAATTGCAAGCCATGCGCTTGTAACTGAGGCCTTAAGTCGTAAGGAATCGTCATCACCACCGGATATGCCGCTATTCGCCTAGGCTACAGTCCAATTTAAGTAGAGTCAAAGTACTGCTTTTTCATCCAAGAGAAAAATCGCCGAGAAATGCTGACTGACCATAACTCCCTTTCTTGTATCATGGTAATATAAACTGCATTGTTAACCGTTCTAACTTCCATGGCAAGACTAACCGTACTTTTATTAGATGAACACTATTCATTACTAACAACGATGTACCGAAGAATGTAATAAATACCGAGACGAAAGTACAGTTTATATTTTTTCCCAATCTGAACCAAATGGAAAGTAGATTTATGGCGGTTGCTAGAAATGACAAGAAACAATTGTAAGATTACCTTTATAGCACGAAGAATATTCTAACTACATATTTTCAATAACACCGAGTAACAAATGTGAAGTTTGTAATAATAGTTATCCATATTTTAATATTAATGCGTATTTATTCAAAGAGTGTAAAAAAATGATATTTACGCATTAATCTAATTATTACCTGTATATTTTTTGGGGGATTGAAAATTGTGGGTCTGCACAAGTACTGTTAGTTTTATTCAAGAATTAAGAAGTTTGAGTAGTCGGTTTACACCCGTCGATAAAGTTTCATGGTAATATGTACGCGGGTAAAATACTCGGGTAATTGATACCTATTCTTTTGTAGTTTCAGCACCTGGGTCTTGGTTATTTACTTATCCGAAATATCCGTTATTTAAATAAGTGAATAAATACATAATTTTAAAGCGGTTGAATAACAGGTTGGCTACTGGAGGGAGCGTTCACTTTACAATTACCAGCTACAATGTCTGCAGTCATAATTTTTAAGTATCTGTACAGGAATTGCAACTTATATCCTAATGGTTGTACCAAAAAATAGGACACTCTGACATTTATTTGCATTTATATGCAATGTAAAATAATAATGTCCCCCGTTTCTAACAAATAGAAGGCAAAATAATTACGCTTACTTTATAGCAATCAGTGAAATAGACGTATTCAAGCGTAAAATCAAATGTAACTCAAAGTTAAACGGGAACTCGGAGATTAAATGAGGAAATGAACGAAGTTCTATATATTTTTAAATAAGGTAAAAGTAAATATGTACTTACAGATATTATATGTAACTGAAGTAGATGGTCATATTCCACTCATGTATATACAAGAGTCTGAAACCGCTTTCTGTCCTGTATTGTTGAAATATTTATTCATTTTAATTAGACATTAACGTAATATAAACATGTAGTCGACAAAACAGAACGGGTTTCATTACTTTGTTTCACGGCTTACAAAGTCTTGTTTATTTCTACAATTTCCTGTTGACTTTTGGCCATCGAAGAATTCTATTAGTAAGGTCATATTATACAATTTTCGGTATGAAAAAGAGTAGGTCTATTCGTTATTAAATAGCAATTTTATTAACCAACTGTTTGCATTATTTTGAGATACAAAATATGGAACAACTATTTTATAACGATATTCTTAGCACCCCTAAACTAATTATATTCTTAGCGACCAGTTTTAATATAATGCAAATGATTTCATTAATGATCGCTCATTCTACTTGTATAAAAAGTCACGTTATATTCAGGCCGCGTGCGATAATTATAGTTTTCGAATAAACGTTTGGAACGGACCTGATAACATATAATACCTGAGATATGGTATGAGTTAAAATGTATGATAAAGGCTCTGTTAAATCGACGTCAAGGCTGACTTGAAAGTTTCTACATCTACCGCTGGATGGCGCGACGACTGTTTTTACTCTGCCCTCATGGTAAGTACAGAAGTTTTCTGCATTGAGTCTATCGAGTATTCGCTTAATTTACTAGAAAGTGAGATACTGTAGCAATTTACATATATATATATATGTAGACTCGTCAATTCATTTAACAATATTAAATATATTAATTAGTTCAGTAATGTATAATGAATAAGAAATACTTAATAGATGCACACGTCTTTCGATTCCTAGTTCTTCTCGAAGTAGTGGTCAATGAGTCTTGCTGTAAGTACGTTGAGCATTGTTCCTTGCAGGGATTGTTAGGTATGTTCCTCGAAGTTTATGCTGTTCTGTGGAAACTCCATCATAGCCGCTGTCACACGCACAAGAGTCTTATGTCTAATCTTGTGCAGTGGCCAGCAGCTGCACTGGAGTCCAATTTCTCCTTATTACAGACTGATGTATATCATCTTAAAAAACAGAGGCATAAATCTTAAATTACTGCACAGTTTGGCACTTCAAATTCATTTCATGTACAGAGTTCGATCAGAAAATGTTAACGCATTAACATTTAATTCATATTTTATTTGTTAAATTTGTTACGGCTTTTTAGCCTGATAGGTACCCACGCGTAGATGTAATGCGATTTGTTATTGCATAGTATCAACCCCTTGGAAAAGTATTACTAACGCCCTTAGTACTGTCTCCTTTCTGAACCGATTGAAGTACATCTTTTCCCACTCCTCAGAGAGTAAAGGAAAAAAATGTGAATGGTGAAATTTCGTTGCACAGTATCAATTTGTGTATACTGAATTTTTGTTGAAATCGAAAGTTTTCTGTACTTAGGTTTAATAATTTATCGGCTCTTATTTTAAGGTATTGATCACTGAAGCGGGTGACAAAGGAAACGTTTGAACCGAAGTAGAACAGGGCACAGTCCGACCATAGTACCTAGGTTGAATCATAGGTAATAAATACCTGTAGGCATTATAGAGCAGCGTTACAGGTCGACTTCGGTGTAAAATTCATCATCTTCGATCTTTCTTTACGGTACATATGGATTTTACAATTATTATCTGCTTCTGTCTATGTACCGGATAGCATACCACCTGCCACGTTATGAACACTTCCCTGGTCTACACTGGGTCTGCAATATTTGGGCTTGAAAACTCCTTCAAAATTTTAGCTTCAAGGTTCCAAGCGTATCATTTTTGTCAATGGTATGATTTCCAGATCGATGGCACCCACAAACGCAGAATTTGATGAGCGATACTATGAAGACTTCATCATCTATTGTCTTCTTGCTGTAGATATAAAATGTACATCCTCCCAAAATTTATGTTCACTTTCCACAATTCCTATTTTCTGTGAAGCAACTACTAATTCTTGTAAAGTGCTTCTTAAATTCATGTCGTAAACGTCTTGCGCTTATTTTCATGTATTAGGAAAATATTTGTATTTAATATAATATCGTTAAATTAAATTTGTAAGTAACAAAAATTGCATCCACTTTGGTGCAATAAATATTTTTTAATTACCATGTAATATAACAGTGAGTAATGACATACTTGCATATCTTTTCTACAATTACATTGAGGGTGACAATGAAATAATCGTATTATTATTAATATATAATTATGCTATATTTTACTGTTACGATACACCCTCCTTCAAATTTCGTGGGTCTTATGAATTAATGTGTTTATTAAGTTTTACTTTTTTGAACAATCCAACTGTAGTTTTAACATAAGTTGAATTTTAGGTCCTATTTGTGAAATTTATATTTAAATTGTTATTACTAAAGACAAATAAATATTTTACTGACCGGCGAATTTGGAGATAAATGGCGATCACGAGTAACGTAAAACCGATTAATAAGCTTCCGGTCGGTAATGTGTTAATACGTTATGAATTAATCGGTAAACATAGTAGTGAATCCAAAGGAAATGAGCTGAGTTGTAAAACTATTGTTTTAAAACCAGTAAATGTTTTACACACAATTATTAGACCACCGTGGATATTTCAAACATGTTAACGTTTATTTTGTTTAAATTTATTCTTTCCAACAAGAGAAACTTTTCGACATATTACTATTTCTAATTTAATTCGAAGATACAAAAATTGAAATAGTCACCTTTAAATAGTTTCGCGAAATTTCGCGAAACCAAAAAATTCACCTTTATGCTTTATTCTATTTCTTGATCATGTGATTTAATGAATTATATCAATTACATTTTATGAAATAAATTAACCTCCTGCATTCCCGCCAAATAACCAAACAAGTGAACTTCCTGCATTTTAATTTCTTCTTATAGATAGAACTTAATTATGTTAATTTTACCGCTGTTTAAACTTTTTTTAGTTTGGCAGCAGAAAGATGTCTAGTTATGCGTGCGTAAATATATTACACCTAATTCGAAAATACAAATTTTGGATTATTTCCACTTTGGAAGAGTCAAAATCACATAAATTGAAAGAATGATACACCGACATTTTTTAAAATCAATATTTAGTTCAGGAAGTGGTTCAATGTTTGAAGAATGGAGTACTGGATACAAAGATGTTGCGGTAATTACTGTCTGCTCGTTACAAAAATATTCTAACTCTTTTCCCTTTTATAATACATGATTTTCGAATCTGCTAAGATTTAATGACAATGTAAAACTTTACACGATTCATGAATTTAAGCAAATTCAAAAACTTGAGTAACTTGTTACTTCTGTTTTTCAAGCGTGAACCAATGTCCGTATCGACTCGCACCACGCGGAAGTAAATGAAGACGAAACGAACAAGCAGAGTAACAAAAAGTCCATCTTGACACTTTTTCATCCACTGTCTGTGCACAACTGCCGATACTTCCTTACTCCACCACCGGTTATATACTGCATCCCTATGTGGTATTCTAATCCGATGGCCAATAGCCGTTAAGGTATAGCTCGAAGTGACCAATCGGCACTCGGTATTAGTGGTGCTTGACACGTGTTCATTGGGAAATAAGGACACCGTTATTACATTGCAAAATCGTATTTGCGCCCTCCGGAGGAGTCCCCGGCATTACGTTTAAAACTATCTAAATTTAGGATGAAATTACATTGATAAAAATGAAGGCATTAGCTTTTTTTTTTGTTTTATCTATTTAGAGTTGAAATTGAGTGGGTTAATTAGGTAAAAACATTATCCATCCCTCAATAATCATGACTGATTATCGAATTGCTTACTCTTAGAAGCAGGTCGTACCAATTAAATTAGAAAGTATTTTGTGTAGTCTGGTTGTGAATAATAGAATATGCTGAAAATAGCTATCTTTTAATTTATGTACAACTGGATTCTACTTTCTTTTTTTTAATTTTACAGTACACATGAATCTCACAATGAAATTCAGAAATTTCTTTCTTTGATACGTGAACTGTTTTAATTGAATTATTGGAATATCAAAAAAGCTATTCTTACGTTGATTTGATGCAAAAGTTCGTCCGGTTTTGGCTCCATATGGCATTTCATCGAACAGGACGACCTTTTTCATCAGCCCAACAC